ATAAAAGCTATTTTTTGATATTGTAAAGCACCATTATTTTTTTAAATTTTACATTGCGTATTTTTTTAACCTTCGTCTTTTTATCCAATTTACATATGGCATCAGTACAGCACTTTTTTTGTAAAACAATTTTTTGAATATTAATTAATTGAAATCAATTATTTTTGTACCATTCTATTAATCTAATACATGTTAATCTAATACATTTTATTTATAATATTTTCAACCAATTTTCATGAATTTTTACACTTAGGTTTTTGTTTATACAACCTTGATGTTTATTTCTTGATATTTCCACACTTTCTTTAAATTTTCTGTCATAAATTCGTTTTTCTTTATGTAAAATCTGTATATTTGATTGATCTATATTACAGTTATTGATTACGCAGTGATCGTGGAAGACAGAGGTCAGACGACTATATTTTAAATCAGATATGTGTTCTTTTACACGTGTTTTTAATGTTCTTTTAGTTTCACCTATATAAAAACTATTACTTTTACAAGTACAAAGTATTTTATAGACAACATTTTTAATTTCGTTCTTATTCTCTATTTTATTATTTGAACGTTGTTTCGCATTTAATCTAGATATTAAATTTTTATAATTTGGTGCAAGTTGTATATTATTTTTCCTAAGTTCTTTATTAATTTTTTCATACACATGTTTTATGTATGGAAAGCTTAAGTATTTAATTTTTTTCCTTTCTTCTTCTCTCTTGGGAGGAAAAGCAACACTATTATCGATGTTTTTTTCCCAATTGTTGATTAATCTTGTAGGGTATCCATTTAAACTGAATTTTCTGTGTAAGTCGTTAATATATTTTCTTTTCGTTTCTTGTTCGCTGGATCTGCTAAGTATATTCTTATATTCCATATAGAAAATGTTCTTTTTTATATGCAGAGGGATATTCGAACGATAATTCAATGTTTTATTGATCGAACATTGTTTTCGAAAAGGTTCAAGTATTAATTTGTTGTCTTTCCTTTTGATCATCATGTCGAGGTATGTTATGCTATTATCAGTTGTTTCTTTTTCTATAGTAAATTGGATTTCAGTATGAATATTATTTATTAATTTATCTATTTCGTCTGTTTTTATTTCAACTTCATTATATACTATTAGGATATCATCTATATACCTTCTATAGTAATGTATACCTAGAATGTCTTTTATTTTTGTGTCAATCTCGATCATTATCAATTCTGCTAGTTTTGGTCCTATAACCGACCCCATACTAATGCCGTCTTCTTGCGTGTAATATTTATTATTTATTTTAAAATAATTACTCTTATAGGCAAATTCAAGTAAATCTATAACATAAAGTTCGACATTCATTTTCTTTAACTGATTATTAATCATTTGCCATGTGATTGATGGATACATTTCAACTACATCAAGACTGGCCAGTTTAAACGTATTTTTTATCTGAACCTTTTTTAGATCTTGTAAAAATTCTTCTGTATTTTTAATAGAATAAATTGAGTTATCGTAACTTTTAAGTTTTTCTTTTAAATATTTTTCTAAGTTATACAATACAGTAAATTTGAAATCTACGATTGGTCGTACCTTTTCATTTTGTTTATGAGTTTTTAGTTGAATGTTTAGTCTAGGGGTTCTTTCGTTATCTTCAGATAATATAAATGCTTTTTCATTTTTTGTAACATCCCCTAGTTTTTGTAGTTTGTTAATTCGTTTTTTTAATTCTTCGTATATTATTTTTCTTGGATTTATCGGTAGTTCTCTGAAGTTTTTTCTATTTATGATTTCTAATTTTTTTAATATTATCCAGTCTTGGGTTACAACTACAATTTGTTTGGACTTATCTGCCCTGATTATATTAAGATTATTGTCATTTAAGTACTTGTACAATTTTTCTATTTCAGCGTTGTATTTGTAAAATAAATTCCACAAATTTCAATATTTAAATATCTTTTCATGTCTAATAGAGTTAATGGAATTCATTGTCAATAAAATTTTCAGTATATGATAAATGAACAATCATTCATAAATTGCATACACATATATTTCCTGAATGTTCAACTCTTAATATAATTTGATTAAATTATTTTTAAAACTAATTTATTAAGAAAAAGTTATTTTTAAATGGTATAACTTTTAATGAAATAAAAAAATATTAAACAAATTTTTGGCAAAAGCCTGATTTCTGCTTGTAATTCCTTCATCAATACCTTTTTAAAATGTAACTGAGCAAGCACCCAGTACGTTTTCAATCACTTAGTTCAAATAAATTTTCCTACATAAATCGTGAATTTATAATTTCGTTAATTTTAGATAATGCTACTGGTCATACAACGAAACCTAATGATTTGTCAAAATTCTTATTATTGTTTCACTAAATTTACAAAACAAAATATAATTTATATACTTTACAAGTAAAAGATAATTACCATGCTTCTTGTGGGGTAAGTACTTCTGGTTCAGTAAATAGTTGAAGGCATTGCCCTAAAGTCACTTCTGACTGCTCTGTAAAAATAATTTATTTAAAAAAAATTATGTTAATCTTTAGATATTAAAACTTTCAAGCTAAGCTATGATAAATCAATATTCTAATAGTATTATTTTGTTTTTGAATGTATTTATAAGACAAGATGATTATTATTATTATGTTGGGTTTAGTGAGTTATACTCGGTTGATACTGGTGGCTGTGTACTATGTCAAACCAGAGTCAAGGCATAGTAACCAAAATAAGACAAAAATTAAATAAGTGCGTCAGTGTGCGTCTGTATTCAGGAATTTTCTAACAATATGACTTTATTTATTATTATTATTATTATTTAGGTGTTGGTGAAGTGTATCTTAANATCAATGTTTAACACAAAGTAATACATAATAATTTGTAGGATTTCATAAATCAAAGCAATAAAAGTGCTTACCAGTACCAGAAAGACTTGTCAGTTCAGTAAATAGTTGAAGGCATTGCCCTAAAGTCACTTCTGACTGCTCTGTAAAAATAATTTATTTAAAAAAAATTATGTTAATCTTTAGATATTAAAACTTTCAAGCTAAGCTATGATAAATCAATATTCTAATAGTATTATTTTGTTTTTGAATGTATTTATAAGACAAGATGATTATTATTATTATGTTGGGTTTAGTGAGTTATACTCGGTTGATACTGGTGGCTGTGTACTATGTCAAACCAGAGTCAAGGCATAGTAACCAAAATAAGACAAAAATTAAATAAGTGCGTCAGTGTGCGTCTGTATTCAGGAATTTTCTAACAATATGACTTTATTTATTATTATTATTATTATTTAGGTGTTGGTGAAGTGTATCTTAAATGGTATATATACCAGTGCCTAGTCTACATGAGACCAAAGTCTCATAACTAAAGAAAATGTTTTGTTTATGTTTGTGTTTGCATCCGTATTTAATAATTTCCTCACTGTATGATATTGTTTAGTGTAAAGTCCTTCTGTAGTGTGATGTATATGCTGTTGTGAAGCCCTAATGTCACTAGACTTTGCTGTAGTGTATATGGTATGAAACCTGAATAAGAAAGGATTATTAGCATAATAAATATGTCATCCATTCTAAACAGAGGCTGTAGAATGGATGCATCTGAGCATTTACTCAATTTTCATTGTATGTCGTGTCCTTAGTTACAATTTGTATATATATATATATATATATATATTTTTCTGAACAGCACCAAAGAAGGGATGGAAACTTAAACCAACCCAAAATACATTTGTAGCTCAATTTTTGAAATAAAGCCATAATTTTATGACCAGAAACCTGTGAGATTGTCTACCAAGAAAAATTTTTTGGATTAAAACAACGCTATACATAGAAATTTCATTATACAATCTCTTTACACACCGGTGTTTAAATACAATAAAATAAAATACTCTTCAAACCTTTAACCAGAGTGGTTCTATTTTTAGACTTGCAAACGTTTTCGTCGCCCTCCTGGGCACTTCTTCAGGCTAAAACGAATGGGCCTTTAATATTCGAATCATTTGAAATCGTTCNGAGTGGTTCTATTTTTAGACTTGCAAACGTTTTCGTCGCCCTCCTGGGCACTTCTTCAGGCTAAAACGAATGGGCCTTTAATATTCGAATCATTTGAAATCGTTCCGAATTTGTGTTGCGCATGCTCCATCTTCATCCCTTTCAACGCTGCTATCTATCAAAATCTCTTCCGAATTCTATCGTTGTACTGTGCATGCTCCATGCTCATCTCTTTAAACGCTTTTATCCAGCAAAATCTGCCATGCTATCGATAGGGCCATTTTCTCTTTATAATTAATACAAGTGTCGTTTCTTCCCGCCTTAAATATCTCCATGGCTTCTAGCCATTTTAGTTGTTGTGGGTTGGAGTTGGTTTTAATGATTTTCGCCGCGCTCAGGTCCACCGTTATTTCCTGTTCTGAAGCGCATGTTGCCAGGGCCATTGTGTATCTACCGTGCTGTATATCTGACGTCATACCTTTTAGATAAACTTTTGATTAGTCAAAAGTTTATCTAAAAGGTATGACGTTTCCCAAAAAGCAGTTGATCAGGCAGGGCTACCGGTGATTATACCTGATCAAGAAAAAGAGAGGATACCTATAACGTATAATCCGATACTAAAATCGGTCTACAACATGATAGCCAAAAGAAGAGGCATAAATATAGCATAAAGAAGGTGTCAAACTGTCTTCAGGATACTAACTAATGGCAAAGACCGGCCAAACCCTGAAAGACTCCCAGGAGTATATGCAGTACCGCTAGAAGACAAAAGATGTGATAGACAACTGACATATATTGGTTCCACGAAGCGTTCATTAAAAGTGAGGTTAAAAGAACATGAGTCAGATATACAGCATGGTAGATACACAACGGCCCTGGCAACATATGCTTCAGAACAGGAAATAATGGTGGACCTGAGCACGGCGAAAATCATTAAAACCAACTCCAACCCACAACAACTAAAATGGCTAGAAGCCATGGAGATATTTAAGGCGGGAAGAAACGGCACTTGTATTAATTATAAAGAGGAAATGGCCCTATCGATAGCATGGCAGATTTTGCTGGATAAAAGCATTTAAAGAGATGAGTATGGAGCATGCACAGTACAACGATAGAATTCGGAAAAGATTTTGATAGATAGCAGCGTTGAAAGGGATGAAGATTGAGCATGCGCAACACAAATTCGGAACGATTTCAAATGATTCGAATATTAAAGGCCCATTCGTTTTAGCCTGAAGAAGTGCCCAGGAGGGGCGACAAAAACGTTTGCAAGTCTAAAAATAGAACCACTCCGGTTAAAGGTTTGAAGAGTATTTTAGAAATTTCGTTGTATATGTTTTGGATATTTCAAGTGTTTGGTACAGCTAGGTCTATGATGGTACTATATGTGATTTTGTTTTATTTGTTAAAAAATTGATTTGTCTGTGATTATATTAGATCATAGCACACATCTGAAATTTAAGAATGAACAATATTTGCACACAAATAAGGAGAACTGTATTAATCAATGTTTAACACAAAGTAATACATAATAATTTGTAGGATTTCATAAATCAAAGCAATAAAAGTGCTTACCAGTACCAGAAAGACTTGTCAGTATGAAATATGTCCATCTTTAACTGTAATATTGGTAAGCACTCTTCATCTATTTTCTATCTATGTTCAACTGCTATATATATATATATATATATCTTTTTCAACACTTACTTTTATTTCTTTTATATGTCAAATCCCATGGTTCAGTGATTTTTTCTAGCTATCACTGCTCTGCTAGCAAATGTATTCATCCTTAAGTTTTGGACATATTTGTATATTTTCAATGTGTTGTTATCATGATTATCTGAGGTTTATATTTGCAGTATGATTCTTAGGTGTGTATGATGTCCACTGATGTCCAAAATTAAATTAATAAATACTTTTTTGAATAGAACTCTAAAATTATTTAACAAATTTCATAAATTTTAATAAAGAATTTGGTAAAAAATTCTAAATTTTATGTTTGTTCACTTAATTTTGGACACCAGTGTAGTTTGTATTGTGTACAAGTTTTTGATATATATTCACTATTTGGTAAGTGTTTTTTAAAAATTTAACAAACATAACAAATAAATAAGTAATTTGGAAAGAAAGAATATTTCATTCTAGATAAAAAACTATTCATTTTAGTAAAACATTTGATTTTTCTGATTAATCAGAGAAATACATTTGTAAAACCTTGAACAATAGTTTATATCACATTTTCTCACTGTAGCTCTCTCTCTATATAAGGTCACTAAAATGGACAGCCATTTATTTGGTGGAAAAGATTAATACATTTCAGTAAAATCCTAATATTAAAATTATTACATAACAAATCATAATATAATTTAATGAAAAAAAATCTATCAATCTCCATTACACACTTTACAATAAAAACTGATTTATTAGACCAATGATAAAAAATATGTTATTGCTAGATAAATAATTTAATTTTAATTTTTGGGATTAATTTTTTGTAATTAATTAATTAAAATCCTTATTATTTTGATATGTAATATCTTTTGATAGTAATTTGAATTACATTTATTAATTAAATTAACTTAATTTATTAATAAATTATAAAAACATGTTTAATTTAATAATTAAATTTGTAAGTCAAAAAGCTTTTAATACATTTTTAATGAATAATTAATAAGTTTTTGAAATTTTCAGTCTATTTAAATGTTAAAAAATTCTAAATTTGTTATTAATTATTCTCTAGCTAAAAACAAACTTGTATCCTTCAATGATATACCAAATGCTTAATGATTTAAAACGTTAAAAAACATTCAAGGTTAAATAATTTTTTTTTCTATCTGAATTTTGGTTTGTATCTTTGATTTGATAAATAGTTTACAGTATATTCAAAACTATATTTTGACTAGTATTTACACTTTAAGAAATAATTCATTAATGTTTTTAACCTATTCAGTTTCAACAAAAGTATTTAGTTAAGTAACAAAATTATTGAATAAAATTTTTTTCTTTTAAGCAATAGTTTGAATTTTTTCCAACGTTTACATAATAAATCTGCAATTATTATTATTACCATTAGGTAAATTTTCAGTAGTATTTTTTTTTTCTTTATTTGTGACCATTCATTAAAGACCATATAAAAATATGGTCCATAATGAATGAGAGTAAAATTGCAAGCTGTTGTAATCAAAAAAGACTGAAAATATGTGTAAACTAAATCATTCAAATATTTATATAAAAAGATTATAATTCTATTACAGACACACTGATATTAATCATTTTAAAAGACACATAATTACTTTTTATTTTTACAAAATAAAACACAAATTTAACGTAAATTGTAATTAAAATAAAATTAATTAATAATTTCATATTTTAACATTATAATGTTTGTCATATTATAATTTACAATAATTTTTGAATTTAATATAAATGCCAAACCTGTTTTAACAAAATCTGTATCTTGATCATCGTAATCGTGTTCCTATAAATAGATTATGATAAATAATTATATTACATATTTTCAATAATTTTATATTAATTTAATTGAATTATAACTGACTAGATAAATTCATTTTTATATTAAAAAATATTTATTTATTTTATTTTTTAATTGTATTTTCTTCATTTTTGTAGAAGCAATAATATATTAAAAAAAATATAATATTAGTTTCTTCCTGTTAAATAAAAGTTTTACTGTCATTAATGCTCTCTCTCTCATTTTTTTTTTTTTATATTATTACAGATGTGTAGAGCATACGTCAACAGTGTGTACTGTACATCTAAATAAGAAATTTTATTTTATTTTCTTTTAAAAAACTGACACTGAATAGTCGATCATAAAGTATATTATTTTTACTTAGTTAAATTTTTAATTTGTTCTGTAAGATAATTTTTTTAAACTAACAATTAAATTTTACTTAATAACTGAGACACAAACTAATAAATTTTGCAATTACGACATGCTCGATAGCCAGACATATAATATTAATAGTTCATAAAATCTTGAGAGATAATCTTTTAAAAACTTTTGTAAAGTTACGTAATGTTATTAATTTTCAAATTTATTTATTTTAACTAAGTTTTTATATAAATTTAAACTTATATAAATTCCGTCATTAAAACATAATACAACAAAATATATTATTACATTTTTTAAATATGTTTTTGCTCAAGCAGATCAAATGTTTAACCAGGAATCAAGTTTAATATGAGAGAGATAATTCTGTGGCAATTTTGTACATTCTAAAGTGGAAAATTAGTCAGTCTAAATTTTCAAATTTAAAAATATCTTTGCTATTCTTTCGTTGTAAAATTTTTTAAAAATCTTTCAAATGATATGTGACCACGATAAATTAATTATTATAATTAATTAATTACACTGGAAATTTATTTTTGTCAAATTAGAATCAATTACTGAAATAATAACAATTTTAAACAAATTTCTAACAAAATTATACATGGCTCTTCTAATGTCCGATTAATTAATTAGAAGAATATCCAGACTATTAGTTTATTGAGGTGGAGCATTAGTGAAGCCTCTTCTTTTTACAGTATTGTGTTCATTCTCAAAATCTGTTCAATAAATTTTGATTAAACTTTTTGGATTCCTCATTGCAATTAATGGAAAATGGCAAAATGTAATAAAAATTGAAGGTCCGTGAATTTGTTTTCGAGATATAAGGTCATTTCATGAGTGTGTGTGACAAAGCAAAATCGCACAATGTCCCAAGGTTGCTAACATGTCTTCTATGTAGCTGATAGAATTGAGTTTATTCTCAAAATTTGATGGACCAATTTTGATAAAACTTTGCCATTTTCTATTGATTGCAATGAAGAATCTAGAAATGAAATAAATGTAAATATAGAAAACAGAGGACCATGATCTCATTTTTGATATAAAGTGGAGTCAAAGTGACAATGTCCATGCTCCTTGAGACACCTAATAGAATTTAGGGGTCAAATAAAAAAAAACAGCATTGTGTGCACCTTACAGAAAATAGACACAAAAAATGAACATAGCACAAGAACAAAGCAATTGGCATTGATTGCTTTTAGTTTTGGTTTTATTTGTATATAGCAATGTGACATGTGAGCAATCTGCTGAAGGTGAATACCTCTTGAGAGGTCTTTTATGAGAAACTAGCCCACTATTTAGGTATTACTAATGTGAAAAAAACTGGAAAACTCCATGTAGCCAACCTGTTGGCCAGGTACAAGGATATTTATACAAAAATCGCCAGGTACCACAACCACCAGGTACAAAGATTGCTTCTTTCTTTTCAGCTCTGCCTCAATTCTATTGCGATATGACAGTGTCACTCAATGTCCTAGTAATAAATTATACTGATCATACTAATTACACTGAATTATACTGATTATAATAAAGTTGTGAGCCTTTTGGAATACAATAAAATTACAGGAAACTGGTAGTCTGGATATTCAAATATTTTTTATCTCAAAAACTGCAAGAGAATTTTAGAAAAAAAATAATGCATATGTAAACTAAGTTATGTTATAAAACTTTTGAATCCAGTTCAAAAGTAATATAAGCAATAGAAATGCCATAATGATGTCATCGAGTGAGGCTGTCTTACAAGAATCGAAATTTTAGAGTTTGTGGGAATGTCCTTTAGTTTCGAGCAGTGAAGCTAGCTAAAAACTTTTTGCAGTTAAATGTGAATTAACTGCAAAACAGTATCATGAAGAACTAGTAGATGCTGAAGGCAATAATGATCTCTCATATTGAAGGGTTGCATGTGGTGCAAGTACTTTCAAAGTGGAAGATATAATATTGTAGATGAACAATGCAGCAGGCTTTTACTGACAAAATTTAACAACTTGTCAATTGTAGCCTTGAGATTGATCAGTAATAAAACTGTATAATGTAGCAGCAGAGACTAATCTTACTATCTAGGCAGTGCATTACATTCTTACAAAACTATTGCCTAAGAGAAAAGTTTGCTCATTGAAGAGTACCTAATGTCTTGATGAATGTTTGGTATACATGAGAGATTATTCTGAAAGACATTGATAAAGTGAGTCATCATTTTATTGCAATTAAATGTGATAATCCACAAAAATCCAGCATTAGTTTCTCAATATGATTCCTAATCTTTACAGATTTCTCATTTCTGACTGAAAGCCTATGTCATCACAACTTCCTGATATCGTATTTCTTTGTAGAAAAGGGCTGGCAGAATTATAATTTAATAAGAAGTAAAATACATCACAAATGGATATGAGTCCAATTTTGTTTGCCATGTCCAATCACCAGGCATAACTATTTCCATTGCAGAGACAACCTTTCTTTAGAGGCTATGCGTCTGCACAAATATGCAAAACAGTTTAAAATGTCTGCAGGTGACAATCCCTGGTGATTGGACATGGCAAGCAAATTTGGACTCGTATCCATTTGTGATGTATTTTACTTTTTATTAAATTCATGATATCACTGTAACAGGTCTATTGTAATATATTTGTTGAATTTGTGCCAAAAATTTTGTAATATAAAGCTCACCGAACTCTCATTTTTCACTTTCACAAATCATATTTTTGGAAAAAACTATTGCCATGACTTATCAAATGACTCCCATATAATAAAAATTTCTTACAATAGAATTGACATCTTTCATTAGGATTGTATTATCCAAGATGAGCTTCAGTTGAAAATTGTCCAAAATGGTAGCTGTTTCAATAATCCTTAATGAACTTTACAAAATTGACTTTCTATGTTAAAGAATCATGCAGAACTGATCTAGTGTCCACAATAAAGAATCCCTGTTCCAGAGTAATAACAATCAGAAATGAGAAGTGTCAGGAGTGGTATAGGTCACTTAACAAAATAAGCATTGAATTGGACAACTCAAGTAATAAAGTTCTGTTTTAACAATTAAAAATATGAAGAAGTTAACTGTTGGGTAGCATTTGAAAATTTAAATCAGGATGCCATTATTAGTGTTCATGACAAGAATTGATAATTATGATATCAAATATAACGAATATTACTAAATGTAACAAAGGTTCACCTTATACGCCTAAAAGGCCATTAACTTGGTTAAAACAAGCTTCCAAAAAACATGGCATTTATGAAAGAGAAAATAAAAAAACGAAAGGACAGTTGAAGTACTAAGGAAGAAATCACTAAGAAATTGTTTAAAAAATAATAATAATATGAAGTGATATAAAAAAATAGCAAATAAAGTTTTGAAACAAATAATAAAAGTACATACATCTATGTATCAAGGCCCTTCAATAATAATAACTGTGTGTGCATACTAAATACTTTTATACCTTAATCTAAGATTGCCTGACTTATTGACGGACAATGGAATCTCAAGCCAATTAACTTGCTCCAAGTAACAATGTAGAGGTAAAGAGTAAAGATTATCTAAACAGAAGAAACAATGAAAAGAAAATGAATGGAAAGAGGAAAATTTAAAAAACATTCTTAGCTTAATTTATGAACAATTAGCAGCTTTCAAATTCACTGTTAATAACTCATTGTCAAATTGCCCTACATTGGAAACAACAGATTTAGACACTAAAAAATAGCAGAGTATATATTATATGTTTTGATAATAAAATGCATTCTATTTAATCACAGTGATTATTTTTCTTAATATATTAATTGTTTATTTAAATAATATAATAATACATTAATAACTTGTTTAAATATTTATTAAAAATGTAATTATGTTGGTCAGTGGTACAGCAACAAATTTTGTACCTCTGACAGAAAGTAAAAAGCTCAATTTATTTTTCCAAAACTATATTTGATTATTTTTGATTTACTAACAAGGGAGGATTTTCTCATGTCAACCTTACATTTTAATAATAAAATATATATCAATTGAAAGAGGAAAGAAAATAAAAAGGTCCATATTTTTTCCCCTCTATCAAATGATATATACTGTATTTTATTAAAATGTAAGACTGGCATGAGAAAACCCTCCCTTGTAAATAAAATAAAATATTAGTACTTTCAATCAATTGGTACTAATGACAGGGCTATATTAGCCATACACCCTCATTATACCACTTACGTCATTTATGTTATACTAAAAGTCATATTTATAGATATAGCAACTTTTTTCTTTTTTAAAAAATTGCTCTGTTTGAATTTACAATCAAAAACATATCTGAAAATAAGCATCTTGGCTTCGAAAATATTAATGTAAAATAAAATTTATTAATGTGTTATAAACAATAATATTTTGTTATTATTATTATTAAAAGAAATTGTTATAACAGTATCAATTATAAATTTAAATGGAATAAATCTGCAAAATATCAAAAAAGCAATGAAATTTACTATTGACTAATGAGAACTAATGATCTTTTTATGATATATGTAAGAAGCACATAAAATTGATACATGATACTAGTTGATCAGTATTGATTTCAAAGTCACATTAAACAAATCAAAATAAGTTAGTTGCCAAAAATGTTCATACAAAAATAAGTAGAAAAAATTTCTGGAAT